CCCCCATGAAGCCAAATAAAGCGAAATCAGAATGTCGATAAAACGGGGAGGGAAAACAAAATCCTCCCCCCTAAAAAAGTTGGGCGATTGGCCTTTTTTAAAACGACACATCTTCTTCCTCAAGCCCGAGTTTAAAGCGGTCTCAACCTCACCAAGTATACTGCGGTGAGGGGGGCTCTCTCTCTTCCACCCTCTCTCTGGCCTGAACCCGTTACCATCAGGATATAATACTACGATACGAGCGGTCGACGGCGGGGGGGGGGGGAAACAGAGGCGGCAACCGGGCTGGTGGTCCGCGCTGACAGGTCCCCGCTGCCACCCACCCCGTAACGCAGGCCTCACAAAGCAAGCCCGGCGGCCCCGTCCGCTGACCCCGCCAGTAGCCTCCCTTTCTCCCCACGGGCTTCGAGCTCGCTCAACCTCTCCTCCTCCGCCGTCCCCGTCCCTCGTCCCCGCCACACGAGCCGCTTCCTCACCGTGCCGCCGTCCTTAATGATGATCTTTTTAGCCAGCAAGATGCTGCGGTTGGCGGCCCTTTTCTTTTTCTTCCCCACTTGGGTCATTTTACCATCCTCCTAGAGGGCCGAAAGGGAAGCGGCAAGAGAGAGAGAGAGAGGGAGGGAGGGGGGAAAAAAACCCACGAGGCGGGGACGTCGTCTTTTTTTCCCCTTTCCCGGCGGCAGCCAGGGTGGTCTTTCCCAGCTCTCGGCCAACAGCTCCCCTCAGTCGCCCGCCGGTGCCGCCATCTTGGGGAGAAGAGGGAGGGAGGAAGGGAAGGGGGAGGGGGAAAGAACAACAACCCCGCTTGCTCTGGCGGCGGCAGCCGGGGGGGGGGGGTTCGTATCACGCGATCCCCCGATTGGTTCAGAAGTGCTGCACGTGACACGGGGAGGCCCCGCCCACGTGTGGCTTTCCCGCGAGAGCCAATCGCTTTTCGTCGACGGTTTTGCCTCCACAGGTACATTCGGGCGGGGCGCCTGAGGGAAGCGGACGTTGGAGCCTCTCCGGCGGCTGACTCTCGAGGAGTAGGCCTCGGCAAGGAATGGCGGGAGAGCGCTTGTGAGGCGCCGCGGGTATTTTCTTAAACCTCCGTGCGGTTCTTAAAAGGAGCAACGAACGGACTGCGCGGCGAAAACCTGTGTACCGTGATAGGTTTCTTTTAGAAGAGAGGATGAGGCGATCTATAGTGTAGCTTTCCCCCCCCCCGGTTCCTTCTGTGGGGAGGTCTTTCTGACGTTCGCTCGCTTCGTTTTTAAAACCGCCGAAGGTGGTGTGACAGGTAGTTTTCGACTTAACGACAGTTCGCTTCGTGACCGTTCAAATGTAACAGCGGCACTGAGAATAAATGACTTGACGACCGTTTTTTTCACGCTTAACGACCGTTGCGGCGTTTCCCCACGGTCACGTGATCAAATCCAGAGGCTTAGCGACTGACTCCTATTTTATGACCATTGCTGTGTTCCGGGATCATCTGAGCCCCTTTTGCCACCTTTGGGACAAGCAATGGCTGGAAGATTGGCTTAAGAAGCAGGTTGCTAACTCAACAGCCTCAGTGATTCACTTAACAACTGGCAAGAAAGGTCGTAAAATGGGGCGAAACTCATTTAAAAACTGTCTTGCTTAGCAACAGAAATTTTGGAGCTTAATTGTAAGTTGAGGACTGCTTGTATAAATATGTTCGGTAATTAAGCTAAACCTGTGAAGTTAACTGTCCGTGGACTATGTTATAAAACAGAATACAGATTCACATTTTTTGTGGCACTACAATTGTCAAGTAATGAGCCATTCATAGGCACTTATGTTTTTTAAATGGAGAAACCTAAGGTGACCTATGGCATGTGTGCCACAGGTGGCACGCGGAGCCATTTGTTAGGGCACGCAAGGCATTGCATGCGTGTGCTAGACAGCTGTCTTCGGCTTTCATTTTTGGCCGGTTTTTGCCCTCCACGCAAAACGGAAGTTCATGGAATGGACTTCCGGTTTGTCCATTGGGCTATTTCTTTCCCTCCATAGGCTTCAAGGAAGGCTTTGGGGCCTGGGGAGGGCGAAAAACGGATCTATCGCATGCAAAAAGTGGGGGGACGGGGGTTGCGCATGCATGCTTGGGGGGATCGCGTGCACAGAGAGCGCAGATAGAATTATGGGTGTGGGCACAGCCGCACACAATCCCCCTGTGCTCCCCCCACTTTTGGCGCTTGGTGGCAAAAAGGTTAGCTATCACTGACCTATAACAATACGTAACAAATTTCAATTTAGTTTTTGTTCCTGGGTATAAAGTGTGTTTTCCTAATTCCTTATCCTAAAATAAATAAAAAATAGCTATTGTTTCACAAAAACTTTGATTCTATGGTCAGGATGATATTTTGAAATTTATCTTTTTTTCAGGGACATTCTTTATTAACATTCAATGCAGAGCAGGCTTCCAGAATATTCTGGAACTCTGAGAACTCTCCAGAAGTTTCTAGAATTCTAGAACTTTCTGGAATCTTTTAGAACTTTCTAGTAGTTTCTTGGACTCTCCAAAAATATCCATAGAATTATTAAAGTACAAGTGCCTTAAACCAGGGGTCCGCAACCCCCAGTCCCGGCTGCAGAATGCCAGAAATGGCAAATAAGCAAAGCCCCATCTGGTAGCAGATGAAACCACACACTCCCTGGTCCACGGAAAAACCTCTTCATGGGACAGGTCCCTGGTGCCCAAAATGGTGGAGGCCACTGCCTTAAACCAACATTTTTGTTTGTCTAATTGCTGAGTAAGACAATAATGAATAGCAGGATTTGATTGAGAAAGCATCAAGAAGTTGCTTGCATCCAGCAGGTGTATTTTGCTATGGGTGTGGACAATTATCAAGAAGCAATATTAGGTAATGTATGCAATATATATATATTTTAATTTATATAATCCTGTTAATTTTACAGAGTGGTACAGGGGAGAAAAAAGAGCCGTGAAGTGTGCTATCCCAATAATTTGTTGGATGGAAGTGGACAAGTCACAGATCAGACAAAGCATGTATTTTAAAAATGGATCACACGAGGATCATGTGTATGTTGTTCGTTCCTTTCTTGTTATCACATCCATAGCATGACATCAATCTTCTAAGATTTTTACAGTGCACCTCTTAAGATAAAATCTAATACAGCAATAGGCAACATGATGCCTGCCTTCCAGGTGCTTAGAGTTCAGTTTCCATTTCCTGCAACGAGTCATTTCTCTGATTAATGACATACCAATGCATCACAAAAATGTAGATTGAACTATGATTCCACATGTTCACATGCACCACCAATCCCCCCTTTTTTGACAAAGAAAAGATGACCAAAATTAATTCAAGATAAATTAATAATTTGGATAATGAAGTACAGCATGACCTATTATCAAATAAAAAGACATTATTTTTTCAAAATATCTCTAAAAATATACAGCTACTTTCCACATTACTGGAACTATTAAATTTGCAAATACTGGAATATTTAATTTTTAATTCAATGGAGATTAACATTTTAAGTCACTGAAATGTAATACATATATTACATAAATGAATAAATATAAATATCAACTATTATAACTTAATCTTGTAAGATGACAGCTGTTTTCAAATTCTCTCTTGAAATTCTATAGATAAAACGAAACTACTCTTGACAAATAGCAATGGTGATTGAACAGAATTTGGCCACTTCCTCAAAGTCATTACTGAAGTGTCACAAGATAAGATTGGCAGCTGCTTTGCTATGATTGGTTATTAAGTTTTTATGCAAATTTGAATAAAAGGAGCAATTAAGAAAGTTGTGTATTACTTTCCTGCAAAGGATATGAAGTTAGCTGACGTGCAGTTGAATCTCCCTCTTGAAAGAGTTGAAAGTAAGACCCTGAATCTCACTAATGTAAAGATTCTTTTGTGTACTGGTTGTAAAACAGAAAGGCATTTAATCACAAAAAAAAAACCAGTCTCCCTAGTATGTCTGAATTACAGAATTTTTTGTAATAAAGCCTACATCCTTTTGTAAGTCTGGCTCAAAAACTTTTTTTTAATCTGAATTTTTTTTCATAGCCAACTGAATTCAGATATTTAATGAAAAGTCTGCAGTTTTAAATTAAACTTAGCCAAGAGGAAACCAAGTTACTTTGCTGGATCATAGCAGCAGCAAGACATTCATAGCACCAGTGAGACATTCATTGAAAATGAATTTGAACCATTATTTCAAATGGCATAATTATAACTGCACTCTAATAAGGTTTGGCTTAATTCAACTCTTCACAAAGCTGTGGGCACACAAAGTATAGTTCATGGAAAGTTGGCTGAGATAATTGCTGATGTATGCACCCTAGAGCAAATAGCTTACTATTTTAAGCCAGAAGATATTGGTCCGGCCACTATTGCAGGTAGAAAATCAAAGTAAAGCATTTTTCACAAATTGACTTACATGGGTGCAGCTTTAATGTGTTTGGCCAAGGATGTTGAGTCTTGAATGGGTAGCGTTTTATTTAATCTTGAGGGAAATTGGGACAACTGGCTGTCTCTATTGATTGTTATTCAAATCTTTGGCCTTTTCAATATAAATGAGTAAGGAAGATTCTGTTCTATGTTCCCCTTTTCCCCTTTTGAGTTGTTCGCCGCCCTAAGTCCCTCCTGGAGAAGGGCGGCATACAAATAATAAAATTCAATTCAAAAAAGATGGTTACAATATTTTCATACGACTGACAGTATAAAGGTATGCTGAAGGAAACATTTGAAAAGTTCCCCACGAACTATTTTCTTCGCAAGTGTAGTTGGAGAACCTGCTCATAACTTGTTGAGTGAAGTCCATGAGCATATTTTGGTTTCTTTATGGGAATCAAACTATGTTTATGGCACTTTGCAGAATCTTGTGTTCACATGATTGTGTTTTACAACAGTTTTGCTAAAAATGGACATTTACTTCCAGTTTTCAGCAAAACCAGCCCATAGGGAACCATTGATTGACTTAACAACCGCAACATTTTCTTAATGATAGCTGCAAAAAAGATAAGATCAGGTTGGTTATGACTATCGTTAGCCTAGCGGATGCTACCCTTGCTTGTAACTGGTGGAACTTTGAATTTATAGTAGGCAATACTCGCATTATAATAAGTGACAAGGCATTATAATGATTGATATCTTCAAAAATGAATCCCAACAACTTGTTCAGTAACAATAGTTTAATTATTTAATTAAATTTATTTAATTAACCTAAAACTATACATCTCAAGATTGGATATTGATATACATGACAGAAATAATTGGCTATTATTTAGTCTTGTTCTTCTCATATTGACATAATGGCCTCATATTAATTAGAAACCATACCTATATTCATATTGTTATAAAACTAAATGCACTTTTGATTAATCAGTTGTACACTATAGTTTGCACGTTCATTTCCAAGACTGATTTCAGATACAATAATAGTTTTATAAATATATGAATTAGCACATAATTATGTGAACCCAAGCAAGGCAATGTTATTTGTTACTAGCAGCTTCTTTTGATCAGTTTTTAAATAATGGCTTGACTGTGTTGTAGATTTATTGTATGTATGTATATATATATATCCATCCTATATATAATATATATAATGGATTGAGATTGGTCTAATAAGACTTTGATTATATACTGAGGCTGCTATGAGACAACATCAGACTTTTACATATGAAGGGCTTGTACCTAATTATCGGTTATACTCCATACTACCAATATGGTAAGTCTGATATTTGTTGGTACCAGGTATCTATACGCAAACAAGGTGATGATCATATCTAATATGCCTTCCTCTTCCTCCCATTTTCCCCACAACCACCACTCCCTGAGAAGAGTTGGACTGAAAGTGATTGGTCCAAAGTCACTCAGGCTTTCATGCCTATGGTGAGAGCAGAACTCAACAATCTCCAGATTTCTAGTCTGGTGTCTTAACCAGTTATAATTATTGTGGACAGAACACAAACAATTTAAACAGCTTACTTATACAAAGTCTGAATTATTCTTTAAGGCCATTGTCTTCCCACAGCTCATTAGGCATTAATATTTGGAATTCGTACTTAACTAAGATATTTTTTCTTGCAGTTTTAGAAACTTTTTTTTTCAGTTTTCAGATAATATTTTAAAAAACCCACTAATCATAGATTTGGTTAATCCTAAGAAAAATTGACTTACATATTCCTCAAAATTGAATAGCATTTTTCTAGTCTATTATACATAATTGGAGTTTAATCTGTCATTGGAATACATTTTACAATTCTTTGCCTATGTAAATATTTTGCTTCTTTTTTAACAGCACTGTTCGAATAATAAATTACTTTTACCACTAACCATTACTAGTGGAGCTATTATAACAGTATCTCATTTGTAAATTTGTTTATCATTTGCTTTAGATAGCAATCGTGCTGCACTTTATCTTTTCTAAATTGGATTTAAAAAATCTTAAATATGCTAGCGAAGGCACTTTTTATTCTTTTAGTTGATCTCTGACCTTTCTCTGATCTCAAAATCCACTTTGGAACTTAGATCTTTTTGAGTTCCAAAGGCTTTTAAAAATGCAGCTGGGTCTATGGATAAGGAAAGAGAATCCACTCCTTCACTTCCATTAGCAGAAATTGCTTCTATTGACAGAAGTATAGTGTAGACTTGTTGTCTACACACACACACACACACACACACAAAATTATCAATTAAACTACGGGACTGCATGTGATTCTTTTGAGTATACATGTACAAACATTTATCTCACATACCAGGCTCCTTGCCTCATTTTTTTTTTAGATTTAAAATACTGGAATCAATTTCAGAAGAATCATAGTTGTCAAAAGATGCATATGGGTCAGAGGGAGATGCAGGATAGACGTTATTTTATTGTGATATATTTTATAAGCAGTTAGGACAGACTGGCCTACAGCTGTTCCAGACGTCTGCATGGATCACAAAGTGCCAGTATGACTTCCACAATTACAATCATAATTTCTCAGCAGCAATTTCCATGAGGATTTCAATGACGTATTATCATTATTCAAGCAAATGTACACAAACTGCTTTCACGGAGCCTATTGCTGTCTTATGTTCTCTGAACATATTTAAATATTTCAAAATAGTCTGGGTATCATCTCTACTGGTGTGACTACAGCCCTTTGAGTTCATAAAGATTTGCCACACTGCCAACAAGGCTCTTCTGCATCAAAAGCAATTACCTGGACCCAACCTTAGAAGAAATTTCAAGTTTTATATTCAATGAAGAGCAGCGAGGGTTCCATTGGGCTTTATGGCCATTTCCGCTGACACACCTGAACAATTCATGCCTAATATTTATTGCACAGTAACATTCTTCATTTCTTGGTTAATACAATTAGCGTGTATTCTAACAATGGAATTTCAAGACTGGACAGAGCCACTTTAGTTAAATAAGTTTTCCAGATTTTTTTTTAAAGCTCTATATTATAGTACATTATATACACATGAATATACTACTGTGGCTCCAAAAGGAACTATAATACTTTTATAGAGTTATATGGCTACTTTTAAAAATACATTTTAAAAATATTTTCAAATTAAGATAGTAAGCAATGAAATGTACTGTCCATAAATTGTAAGAATGATCTTATCAAGTAAAGAAATTGTTCTCTGAACAAATAGACACATATTCATTATTGGTTATGGCAATTTACAATGACATTCATCTAATGTAGAACAAGTACCAGATACTGTAGTTATGCTGCTTCTAATTGGGGAGGCTCTCATTTTAAAAACTGAGAATGGTGCAGCAATATAGCTTGTGGCATTCATTCACACAAAGCTTCCAAATGAAAATTCTTCCTCTTGGAGAATTCACCATGAATTATAAGACATTTACATCAGCACATTTTACAACATCAATTTCAGTGAATTATTTTCATATAAAATATTATAAATCTACAAACAATGATTCAGTGATACTTCATTGGTTTTGAACAGGAATACTTATCAGAAGCCTCATCATCATCAAACCTTCTTCCCAAAACAAAACATATCTTCCCACCAGATATTACATTTGATTCCATAACTTTCCAGCCAGCCTGGTGAATTTATTATTTGGCAGATTATAGAATCCAAACTCCCAACACACCCAGAGGACATAGGACAAAGTTTCATCTCTCTGATTTGAAACGTGTGTGTGTGTATGTGTACAGATCTGCATTCATATAAAATTAGAAAAGATGAAATAACTTTCAAAAACAGGTACGATTTAACAGATGCTGTCATGTGCTGTCGCAAGAAGAATGCATAGGACATTTCTGCAGCTGTCGAAAATAGTAAACCATTCTGATTTAACCTCAGAGTTCAAGTTGGAAGCATTTCTAGTTCCAGGTTCTAGAAGCAATCCATTCAAGTTTTGCTCTGGGTTTCCCTTCTTTTACAGAAGTTGTTTTGCAAATTTAATTATTACACATCATTCTTCTGACACAGTATAAACTCTTTCAGTGCCTGATAATCCTCCAACAGTATTTAGAAGTTCTTTTTCCACAATATTGACAAAATATTGTGACATGGAAAAGTCCGTTATGCTTTAATAGGATTTCCTGTTGGCTTTGGATCATAACTATATAAGAAAGTAGCAACTATTACCAGAACAGCTCCAAGGAAAAACACACTAAAGATAAAAAAAGAGAGAGAGAATAAATGTTTAGAATATATATTTTGTACATTCATAAAATGGGTATTTTATATAATGACTTACATGACGACTCTGGATGACATACACAATAAAAATGTAAAAACAGGTAGAATCAATTAAAAATACAACTGAAATGAATTAAAAAGATCACAATTCTCTATCATCATGTAACCATCTAGCATACTCAGCTTGGAATGGGACATTAAGGCAGGGACCCTTGGCCACGCCTCCTTTGCCCCCAGCCACCCGCTTCAGCCCATTTACAGCCAACTTTCCTCCTCCGCTGGCGTTCCCCCCAGCCATTCTCCACGGCCAATGGGTCCTTGGTCCTCCGCCCTGGCCCTTTGTCCCTGCCCATTTGCCCAGACACCATTTGACCCAGGCCTCTGGTTGCCAGGACAAATAGCCTCCAGCCAATTGGGGGGCAGACAGAAGCAATGGCACTGAGGGGCAGCATACAACTGGCGATGGACCGATCGCAGAGGCTAGGGAGGGAGTGTACAATTCAAGTTTTTTTTTAAAAAAAAAACAACAGGCAAGAATAGCAATAGCAGTTAGACTTATATACCGCTTCATAGGGCTTTCAGCGTGCCGACAAAACCACGGTGCTAAAACCGTGATGTCATCAGCGCGCCGAAAACAGCGCGCCGATGGAAGCGCGATTTAAGGTAAGATTTAGGTTTAGGGTTAGGTTTACAGCACGCTTCTGTCGGCGCGCTGTTTTCGGTGCGATTCAGCACTCATTCGTTGGCGCGGTTTAGAACTCGCGGTTTTGTCACCGCGGTTTAGTCGGGCGCGCTTTTGTCGGTCGCCCTTTTGTCGGTGAACCTGTTATACCATCGAAATCTGGCTCAAAATGCAGCTACTAAAATTTGTGGATGAAAGTAGAAATAAAAGCATGCATATTAAACCTCCTTCTTTATATACCGTTATTTGTGTAATTCCACCCCATGGAGATCAACCGATTTTATGTTTGAGTTGATGTGTGCAATACTGCACCCACCCACAAAATATATTTCTTCTATTATAGTGCAAAATATTTAGTTTAGAAGCTCACCAAAACATTTAAATTCAGTTCAAATTATACTTTATTTATACTTGTTCAAGGCATTTGTGTTTTGAAGACAAAATTAAAAAAATACAACTTACCTTGTAGGGACAAAATCTTGAAGCCAGAAATATGAAATTAACGTTGACAATATAATAGATAATGATGTTGCAAATCCTTTTAAAATATTGTCTGCATATTTTATAACAGCTGCTATAACGAGGCCGCCAAGTGCCTGACAAAACATCAAAAATGTTTTTATTAATCTTAATGGTTAATCAGATATTGTTGTGCATATTTAGCAAAGAAATCCTGAAGGAAAAGTTATTACTTTATTTTTGTTACATTATTCTACGAATAATGCCATACATTATTTGTCTGTCTGCCTTAATCCTGAAAGCCATGATTTTTATAAGTACTTTATTGCAGCTAGTCCTCACTTAATGATGCTAACGGAGATTGGGATCTCCATCACTCAGTAAAGCAGTTACTAATTGGGGAAATCACTGTAACTGTGTTCTCCAGTTGGGACAAAATTACCTTTTGTTTGCTTCCTAACACTGTCTCATCCTTTGCAATGCTAGAGTGTGATTACTGTCTTGTACACACTTACAGCAAAACAATAATGCCATAACTTGAGGGTGGGAGCTGAGAGTGGGCTATGCAAACAACTTACTCTCTTGAAATCCTTTTATCTCCAATCTCTCTGCTCTGCAGGGGGAGGGGGGAGTTGCCTTCCATACCCCCAAGCCAGAGGTGGGTTCCTACCAGTTCGGTAGAACCGGTTCGTCAAATCTACCGAACCGGTTAGAAGAGGTTCCACAAGTGGACTCGGAAAGCAGGCCACACCTACATAAGAGGTTCCAAAAATTTTTGAAACCCACCACTCACACACACACACACAGTCATACAGAGAGAGAAAGAGAAAGAAAGGAAGAAAGAAAGAAAGAAAAAAAGAAAGAAAAAGTGAGAGATGAAAGAAAAAAAGGAAAAAGGGACAGAGAGATAAAAGGAAGGAAAGATATAGATAGATAGATAGATAGATAGATAGATAGATAGATAGATAGATAGATAGATAGATAGATAGA